ATGCTGGCCAGGCTTGGTTCGAACTCCTGACCTCATGATCCACCCGCCTTGGCCTCCCAAAGTGCTGCCACTGCACCCGGCCCAAGTGCCTTACCTTTTAAGTCCCCATTGGCTGAACATAAAAGAACTGAAAGATGTGGCACTTGCCAGTCTTCATTACAACCTTCAGAACAACCTATCTAAACTGTGAAACCAAGTGCTTCCCTCCAGCATCTGAGATTAAGGTCTCCACTCTTCCAAGTATACGCAGTACAGACACTCCACGCTCTAAGAGGATAGAGGCTGCCCATCGAGCGGAGAGGATGAAGTACAGAGCGTAACCACCGGTGCTGTTGCTATGCCACGCTGTCCTGTGGGATGTGGGCTCCAACTGCCACGGGTGAGCGAGGGTAATGGGAAAGACACCATGACAGGTGGGGAAACTGAGGCTTCAAGCTTGCCATGCAACCTCATTTCTTCCATAAGCAATCAGATAGTGTACTTCTATTTGAAAACATTATACATCTCAATGTAATTAAGAAATTTCGACTGGCATGAATATGTAATGTACACATTGCTTTACAGATGCCTTTTTTGCCCAACAGGCTGGTGCCGACTTGAATTTGGAAGAAATCCATTTTCATACAAAGGTAACCAAGAGTGACAGGAAATAGGAAGCCTACATCATTTATCTTCTGTGAACTTTAGAAAAAAATCAGTTAATTGCTTTTCTAGGAATCTATTTTGTGGAATCACAGTGCCTCATCTTTCTATTCTTTTTCATGGCATAAACGGCAATTTTAAAATGTCCTTCATGAAAATGCTGTGATTAATCAATACATCTTAGACTATTTAATTACTTATTTTAACAAATAAAATTCTGATCAACCATAAACGGTTTCTCTATTCTTGTAGATGAATTATCAACTGCTACAAAAACTCCTAGGATACCAGAGTCTACTGATTGATATTCAAATTCAGGTGTCTCTTTCCTTACCACTGACTAAGCTATGGGCACCAGTTCCTGGCTTCCTTTGCTCCCCTCGTTTGTCAAATGAATTCTGTTCCCAGCCCTGGAGCCCTCTACAACAGCAGTTTCAAACTATCACTACTTATTAAATCACAAACAGAAAACTCAAATATGTAGGTTTTAGAATATAATGCTGAAGCTGTAACTTGTCAAACTACTGACTGCAAGGCCCAAGACACTCCTGTGTCGTCTCAATGGCTCTGCAGGTAAGGTTTTTCACAGCACTGTCCTATTTTGTGCCTTGCCTCCATCACCTAACATATAGATATGTATTTTTAAATTCTACCAAGTTTGAGGCTAATATAACTTCTTTCAAATCTAAAATGACCATCTTAGTAATGATTTTATAATATTACATGAGCCAAAGACAGATACACTATGAAGTTAATGATGCTTAAGCTTCAGGGTCTCTAAGGCCCTGGGAGTAGGAGGCGGGGCGAGGGGCACTATGTTAACACTGTTACATGTTTTTGAAATAACTGCAAGGTGAGATCTTTTCTATTCCTTTATTCCTAAAGAAGATCCACAAAACTATGCAAATTTGAGGTCCCGCAATACTGTATCTGCTTCTCTAGGTTAACGCTCCCCAATGTTTGGATCTGGAATTACATGCTGAGCACAAAATATTAGTGTGTGTGTGTGTGTGTGTGTGTGTGTGTGTGTGTGTGTGAGAGAGAGAGAGAGAGAGAGAGAGAGAGACAGAGAGACAGAGAGAGAAACAAAAAATAATTCTCTTCAATTGGAAATAAAATTCAGTGTGCCGTGCCCTAGAACATTCTAGAGGGCATGCTTCGGCCATTCATTCCTTCCTGGTCTCTCACCTAACCGTAGACACCTTTCCAAGGGGCGCTCCCAGGGAGACTCACTTAATGAGAGGTGGTGTTCAGAATAAAAGACTCAGCTATAACAACAAAAATATGTTTTTCATTAAACACAAAACTGAGTCGGGAAAAGCCAGCCAAGAGGCAGGTGTATGAGTTATGGAATTCTCTTGAGGTCTTTAACTTCCACATCAAATTGCACTGGAGTTTTCTGCACTAATTACCTATTATTGAAGACTCAGGAATTATTGCAAATAATTTGCCATAGCAGCAGATAGGGTGCAGATGTTGTAAGAGAAAGAACGAAGGGTTTATGAAGTGTAAAACCAGGAAAAGAAATTCAAAATTTCCCAATTTTTAAAAATAATACAGAATTGTTCTTCTACTATAAGGGTGATGAAGGTGAGGAATTTTCCTAGGGCTAAAAGGCCAATTCTAAATTTAATTTGGACTGTAAATGAAAGAAACTGCAAATTAAAAGGTATGTGCTGGAGTCTAATTTATTCAGTTAATGTAAATTTCCTCAAGGCAGAGATTACATCTTACATTTAAAAAAAAAAAACTCTCTCATCGCATTGCACCTGGTCATGGATCTGATTTTGTTATGAGGAATGTACCTATACAATGCCAAACAGCTATTTTTGCATGGCCCTCCTTGTTTTTTATGTCATTTTTATCTAACCTTTCCAGCCCCCAAATTTTTACACTGTGATATGTCTTGCTCTGTAGCTAACATCCTGAAAAACCATAGTCAAGTAATGACCTTTGGGTCATTTTCTTTGGAAATTTCCCTAGTAAACACCTTCTCTACCTTACTGGATATTAATATCTGTACTATTAAGAGGACATTTTCACACCAGCAGTATCTTTATTTTTAAAAATACTGGCATGGATATTTTTGAAATTGTCCCTTTAAATTGTTTTATCTCTTTCAAAAAACAAAAATATTTATTCCCTCAAAAGTAAAATTGGGTTGATAAAATTCTTCAGCTTCTATGTGATTATTGTGAATCTTATTTATTTATTTATTTTTTATATAGATGGGGTCTCGCTATGTTGCCCAGGCTGGTCTTGAACTCTGGCCTCAAGCAATCCCAAAGTGCTGGGATTACAGGCATGAGCCACCTCGCTTGATTGTGCATTTTATCGGAATAGCCTCTAAACATTGAACAAAGTACCTGCAAAAGAGTATTTCTTAATATTCTCTTGGAATACTGTCAACAAAAACCTGAGTTTGAAGGGTAGGAGAAGTTACTTACTACTTTGCTGCTAACTGTGAAATAGTCATGTTTTTATTGTGGGAGTAGGTTGATTAAACAGACAAGTGTTATAAGATTCAAATTACAATATTTTTCTAATGTGCTTTTTACTAAAATAAAGATTACACCCCCCTCACAAAAAAAAAAAAAACCAATTTTTAACTTTGTTCTACAAATACCGCTTCTTATCTCTTCTCTATCAAAGCATGATTGCCCTTTTTAAAATATTCAGGACAAAATGTGAGGAAGAGGGCAGGCTCACTAGTTCAATGTCACTACATATAGAGGAAATGGAACACTTCCCATAGAAAAACTCTTGATTTCTCTCAGCATGAGCCTCTGTCTAAGGTATCCCCCTCTCTCTCTGCTAACCGAACACCACACACAGCATGTTCTTTCCGATCTGAATCCTCAAAGGGCATCCTGAAAGTGTCCAGGTTATTAATGACATACCCAAAAGCCTCATAAAAACTGCACAGTTATCTGCTTAAGGCTTTACTGGCAATCAAAAATTCATCTTTTTTGTTTTAACTAGAGTTTTATGAACTCACTGAATTCCAAAATAAACAAACAAGTAAATTATTACCTAATAAATCAGAAGTTTCTTTGGTAGATAAAGACCATTTTAACAAGAAGTCAATTGAGATTGAAATAATGAAGGGATTCCTGGTGGTTGTAAAAGTCAGTCGCCACTGCTCAAGGATCAGCCAGGATTTATTTGCCACTACCAGTCATTTGATGATGATGAATCAAACAGCCTGACGAATTCAGTTTTGTAAGGTGGTATTTATGTGTGTTTCCTACAAACTTAAAAATATAAATGCCTATAGAAATTACACTTTGCTTCCATTAATTCCTAGTGAACATTTTCTAGAATCTATCATAAATGTGTAATCAAAAAAAAAGTTATTGGTATACACGTCACTTAATGTTCTCCACAAAACCAGTGTAAACATCTCACAGATGAAAAAAGAGGTCTTCTCTAAAGGTGATGTGTTGATCTCCCTATCAGTCCTTGGTGATGTCTGAGACTGATAGTTCAGAAATGTTTAAGCTCAGCTGTGTCAGAAATGCAACAACATCTATCAAATCATTGATTTCATTTGGTTATTAAATCAAATTAAGATACAAATATATTCTGGTCACACTGTTACTCTGTCTTTAAAGAATAAGAGAAAAAAACTGAACAGTTCCTAAGTATAATGTTCTAGAACTTACATTTAATTTTAGTTAGTATAACATATCACAGCAAAAAATATACACGCATGATCATATTTTTTTCTTATGTACTCTTCACAATCATCATCAATTTGGAATATAGTCTGAGACAGGACAGAATTTACAAACCATGTAACAGGATTTCCAAACCATGTGAACAATTCACCATATTCAATGTTGAATAATTAAAACAATTAATTTTAAAACTATTATGAGGTTTACTTGGTAAAATTGGTGTTAAAATATTTCAAAACACAAAAATGTTAAAAGAGTTTTGGAACTCTTTTACATAAAAATTTACCCATTTAGATACTAAAATTATAGGCTTTAAGTGCTTTTCTTATTTCTTAATCACTTATTTACTCATTTCTTAATTTTATTTATACCTCAGTGGATACCAGCTGTTCAGAAGAAAATCCTTGAACTATACTGAGGGGGATATTCCTTTCCTAACTAATACATACACACATGACTGCATTTACCGAAACTTTAAAAATTCCAGTTACATTAAATTTGAGATTTTAAGAAATCATTATTTAAATTTGCCTCCCCTTTGAGTGATTGCTACAAATCCTACCACATAAAGCCAACCATATCACTGAAAAAAAAAAAAAAAAACATGGAAACTGAATTCACAAGGGTCATCACTTGTAACTACGCAGTTGCACGTACGCGGTGCTGAGAAAGACTCACCTCTCCCTGCTTGGGGATGCTGAACTTGGAGAGCTTGGCCTTGGCTCTGGCCGGCTCTGGCTTGCTGGCAGGAACTCCCCTGTATGATGTGCAGTGCACACTGGTTTCCGAAGATGACTTCAGCTTAGGAGACTCATCAGGGGCCTGATCTTGGCCATCCATCGGCCGCACATACGCAGTCGGTTTCTGCTGGACCAGGCTGGGTTTTGAAGCTAGGGATGGAGGAAAGTTCTGAACACAGTGTCCACTGTTGCTGTGCTTGGCTGCCATGGCAGGTGGCCTCTCCTGGGTCTGAAGGCCCACCTCCACATTGCACACTTGTTTGGCCCGCGGCTGCTGTCTGCCAACACCATCTCCAAGCAAGGTCCTGAGAGAGCCCTGTTGTGCTGAGTTGGAAGAAGAAGAAGAGGACGATGAGGATGAGGGGCTTGATACATGGGGATATTCTTTTTTTGTTATGGTTCTCTGGGTTTTAGCAGATTTGTGCAAATCAAGCAACCTGTGGCCATGCTTACTTGCTCTCTGTTGGCCATCTGAGGGCGGATGCCCAGCCTTCTGCCAGCCCATGGTGCCTCTCTTACTCTGCTGCACGGGGACAGCTGCTGGTGTGGAAGTTGTAGTGCTACAGATAGATGAGGGCTGGGTCTGGGCTCTTGAGTCTGCAACAAAATGTTCATCGATCTTGTTCACAGGAGTCTGAGGAACCCCAGGTTTGGGAACGCCAACAAGATGACTCTGATTGGATCTATCAGTTAAAAAATCTTTCATTTCATCATAATTGCCTAAAGTGTTCTGGATCCGGTTGGAGAGTTCATCCCCCTTGTTAGTCTGGAGAAAGAAAAACACATCCACACTATTGTTAGCGACAACAACGGACAAGTGCCCTTATCCATCACAGAGCCAGAGGTGCCACATCTGGAAGGAGATCTGAGAGAGAAAATCAAAATCTTTTATCGTCTCTGAAGATGTCTGTCAGCACTTGGAATGGCATCAGAACAGCAAGCCTGTAATGGCCTTGGGGTGCATGAAAAGGGATCTATCCGGCCAGGCGTGGTGGCTCACACCTATAATTCCAGCACTTTGGGAGGCCGAGGCAGGTGGACCACATGAGGTCAGGAGCTTGAAATCAGCCTGACCAACAAGGTGAAACCCTGTCTCTAAAAGCACAAAAATTAGCCAGGTGTGGTGGTGGGTGCCTGTAGTTCCAGCTATTCGGGAGGCTAAGGCCAGACAATCATTTGAACCTGGGAGGTAGAGGTTGCAGTGAGCCAAGATCATGCCACTGCACTCCAGCCTGGGCAACAGGAGACTCAGTCTCCAAAAAAATAAGGATCTATCCTTGGTATTGTGTGTGTTGCAGCTAAAACAGATTGCCTGGAAATCAGGAAAATTAATTATTACAACTTTAAAAAATGATCTGCATTAAGTCTTTCTATGATTGGACTGTCTTGTATTTGTAGTCCCCCTAGAAACTTTACTTGAAAATTCAGATTTGGCTCAGGATTGGTCTAAATATCATTCTTCCCAGAAATCCAGAATGACAGGCAAGAGATGTCAATGTGAAGCTTAAAGGAACATGGGGCTAAATGTGCAGGAAGCCCGAATGACCCAGAGCTCCATGCAGCCTAAGATATTTGTGAAATCTGGGACATTTCATTTTGGAAGAGAGGTTATGTTTCTGGTCTTTGGTAAAAATGAGAAATAATCTTAGAATTTCTTTCTCATTAGCCCTAACAGGTACTCTAATCCTAGCACGATCCACACATGACAAATATGTAACCCAACCCTCTTCTTGTTTCTGTTGCTTTTTTTTTTTTTTTTTTTTTTTTTGAGATGGAGTCTCACTCTGTCGCCAGGCTGGAGTGCAATGGTGTGATCTTGGCTCACTGCAGCCTTCACCTCCCAGATTCAAGTGATTCTCCTGCCTCAGCCTCCCAAGTAGCTGAGATTACAGGTGCCTGCCATCACACCCAGCTAATTTTTGTATTTTTTTAGTAGAGACATGTTGGCCAGGCTGATCTCCATCTTCTGACCTTGTTATCTGCCTGCCTCAGCCTCCCAAAGTGCTGGGATTACAGGCATGAGCCACCGTGCCCGGTCCCCAAGCCCCTTCTAATAGCATTTGTTTCCTACAATCTAAGAAAACGTAACAAATGGGATTGACCTTGATATGTCAACACAGAGATAAAGTCTGTATTATTAACAAAAATCACAGCAAGCAGATCTCAATAATAAACAAAAGTTTCAAGTTACTGAAGGAGTAGTCAGTAAAGACATGTGAACCAGACACCTCAATTTCTGGGGGAAGACCCTGTACTTAGCAGCTGAGCTGTCTTCCCTGGGCTGAACAGACAGAAGATTCAGTGAAGTTTGGTTGGTCAATTCTTTTAGTCGAGGCCACCATCACAGAGAGTGAGAGGAACAAGTGAGAGGTGGAAATGAATAACTGAAAACCATCTACCTTGTAGGGCTCACTGAAGAGAGAGTAACTAGAATTAAATGTGGCATCATCCTGTTGAGTTTCTTGGTTTCTTCTTTCTCGTTCTTTTCTCCGCAATGCATTTCTATCTGGTTCATAGACACTGCATCAGGAGAAAGAAGACAGAACAACCACAGGCACAAATTAAACTCTAAAGCCCAATGTAACACTCATGTGAGTGCAGAAGTCTGGTTCATGGACAAATGATGATGACAAGAACATGGATGAGACTGAAGCCAGCGTAATCAGGCAGTGTGCTGGGGTGTCTGACAATTACATTCTTTGGGGGAAAAAGAATCCTTAGGAGCAGCTCCAACCAGTACTAGGTTTCTTTTCCTGGTATGTGAAAGAGGAACTATCTAAGCAACTTTGACAGGAGAAGACTGAAAGTAATCTTAAGGCATACGGTAATTACAGTGATGTGTAAATAGAAATTATGAGCATACTTCCTCTATGACACAGACTCTGAGTGTTATATGGGAATGCTCCTGCTTTTTTTTTTTTTTTTTTTTTTTTTTTTTTTTTTTTTTTTTTTTTTTTTTTTTTTTTTTTTTTTTGCATGGCTGTGTTCTGTAGTGATTCTTTCATTACCTAGCTCCCTAAAGAGCTGTTAAAACTCCATGCTGCAGTGGTTTTCACAGTTATGAGCCTTCTTCTGATCTCTGTTAATCAGTCAAGTCGTCAAACGACTACTGAATCAATTCTTCCTTCTGATATATTTGACACTATCACTCCTCCTAACTATGAAAAATGTGCCAGGAGGAAGGGGTGCAGGCAATGAGGGGAGAGAACGGAAATTGAATTATGTTGTGTCATCAAGGAACTCAGCCTTTTGTTGAAGAAAATTAATATCTATTCTCTCAAAATACAATTACGAAGTGGCCAGGCACCAGACAACTGGAAAAAATGAGAAAGAAATAAAGTGTTCCTTCCCCCTAATAAGGAGAAAACAAAGGGGCTAATTCAACTAGTGATGAGGAAGTGACCTGTTTACTGAAGGAAGGAAATGTACTTGTTTTTCTGACTCCCTGGATAAAGAAATCTGGCCTCCGTGTAGACAACAGAACCAACACTACCAATCAGAAAGTGCTCACAGATCCCTCAAGATGAGCTCTGTCTTCATTTCCCAGCAGAAGCAGGTGGGTACAGTGACTTGGCCATCACTGTGCTTCCAGCTTCCACTTGGTCTAGTGGGCAGATGCTAAGCCGGGAGCCAGGACACCCACCTACAAAATGTGGTTCTCCCCAAATCAGCGACAAAGGGATGGAAAAGCCATTCGGTCTCTCTACGCCCTAGTGACTTCATTATAAAGCAGGGGCGTTTCATGGCATTGTTACAAGGCTTAAACGTGAAAGTATTCTAGAAAATGGCTTTGGAGTAGCTTTAGGTGGCACAAAATCCAATGTATTGCTAATAAAATATTGTTAATAATAAAAGGATCTGTGAGTTCAAAGGAACTTATAAAAATTGTGATTTTTTAAAAAGCTAAATAACTATATTTAGTAAAAGAGTATTTATATCATAGAGCTGTAGGGGACACACAAATCATTTTAAAATAAATATTGTTTATCCTAGCTCTGCCTGTGTGGCTGGGATGCACTTTGAATTTGCTGTCTAAGGGATGATGCAATGCTAAACATGCTTCCGGCAAGGCTGTTGCAGCACCTAAGGCATTTAATTTAAATTTTAGATTAGGAAATGTAAAGATATCCAGAACATGGAACCTATTAGCATTTTAATTCATCCTTAGTATATTACCCACAGTTATTAGATTTGGGAGTCCAATCAGTGACCTTTATATAACGGGGACTGCAGCCTCTGGAATCTTCTACCAACTGAGAGGCTCACAGCTCCGACATCACAATCACTGTTCACTAAGAACTCTCCGGGGTGGCTGTGGTGACAGTGACCAGCTCAAAGAAATCATGGATTTCAAATGGAGACTGCTCTGAGGACACATGACCCACCCTGTGGATGGATATGAAGTAGTCTTTAATCAACAGGAGAATTCTAGTTTCATTATGAACTCCTAGTTTTTGAAACAACATTGACATGTGCAGTTAAAAAACAAAAAGCTTGCACAGCATGCATCATAACCCTTCCTCTTCCCGTACATACAGGGGCTCCCACACACACGCTTGCTGCCCTCAGTCAGGTTAACCCGACCAGACACACAAGACAGGTGTGATGCACAAAGTAGCCTTATGTAAGATGGGGCAGGCAGGTGGTCATTGGGAATGATTTCTGGGCTTCTCAGAAGGCCCCCATGCCCAAAATAATACCTCCTGCATCTGCTGGCTGATGACTGAAATTCCACAACTAGAGAGTCATTCCTCTGGTTTAAGATGTCTTCACCCCTGCAAGAAATATAAATACCTCAAGAAGGAGAAACACTTTAAACCTGATTAGCCGTGAGTATCTTAGTGTACATTCGTTTGTCAGCATTTTTTCCAGAGGCCAAGGGGAAAGGGTCCAGAATCTTAGAGGGTCAGAATGAACCTCTAAGGAGGAGGCATACTGAACAAAGGAAGGGACAACGGTAGGTGAAGCCATGAAAACAGATTCATAAACTCCACTTATTTTTCAGTGTGGCTTAAATGTTTAAGGCAAAGGCAATAGGATAAAAGACAAAAATCAATTAGGCAGATATCAGACCCAATACATTTTCAGGGTCTGGAAATTAGTTATGAGTCATGTCCTACTCTAAAGAAGTCAGCGATGAGAGGAAAGCTGCTCCTCTTTAACTAAATCTGCCTCGTCCCCCAACCCCTTTAAGCTGAAAGATACCACAAAGCACTCCAAGATGCTTTCTAAACCATCCAGATTGCAAGATAAGCACTTTGGGAGGCCAAGGCAGGCAGATCACGAGGTCAGGAGTTCAAGACCAGCCTGGCCAACATGGTGAAACCCTGTCTCTACTAAAACTACAAAATTAGCTGGGAATGATGGCACATGCCTGTAATCCCAGCTACTTAAGAGGCTGAGGCAGGGGAACTGCTTAAACTGGGACCCAGGAGGTGGAGGTTGCAGTGAGCTGAGATCGCGCCGCTGACCTCCAGCCTGGGCTACAGAGTGAGACTCTGTCTCAACAACAACAACAACAACAAATCCACTAATGAGGTTCTGCCGGCATAATCAGCCTACAGCTCCTAATACTAAGAAGGAGTGAACACCCTTAGGACCACTTACTCATAATCTACTAATAGAAATCCACTAGCCATCTTTTTAGGGGCCCGCCATAATGCTTGTGCCATGCTTCCACACTATAAGATGAAGCCAGAATGACCCAAAATGGCAACATTCCCACTTCTTCAATAGAGAGGAAAGGAAACTCAAAAAGAAAGGCAAAGCCTTCCCTTCGGTTTCTCACCTCCTTCCTTGGTGGGGAGCTCTGTAGCCTCCACTGAGCTAATTCTTAAAACTAACCAACCCGTTACTTCTCTTTAACTAGAGCCACAAGCCCCCCACCACATGTCATTTCATGGCTAGGGAGCTAAAATATCATTTGCTTAAAGCAGATGTCACTGTAAGAGAAAGGCTGGGCTTCCTACCCCCTGTATCTCCCTAAGTGTCTGAACTCTCACCTTTCCACCAACACTAAATGTTTTGACTCATAAAGACAGTATCTTCTCGACAGTGAGCCCCCATTCCACTAATTACAAGTGAAAATCGTGCAGGTGCTCACCAGCCTGCAGAGTACCTTTCTCTTCATCTCTTGTTATGAAAGCTTAGCCCTCTTTGTCCCTCTGCCATTTGAGCAATGTGAAGACCATGCTTTAAAAGCAAAGAAAGCTTACCCCTGACAAGCTGAAAGTCAGGTCAGCTTCCCCTGGGATGGCTGACTTAGGTCTAAGAGAATTCCGGTTCCCGGCATGCCAACATATACGTTAAACTCAAAAAGTGTCACACATTATCAGTTATGTTTCTTTGTCACTAGCAGATGATAAAAACTTCTATCATCTTTAAAGTTGTTCCTAGTCCATGAAAATTACAAAAACCCCATTTCTCAAATGTATGTCACCAAATGTATTTATTTATTTTGCATGAAAGTGAAGGTAGCCAACTGCTTCAATATTACTTATTATTTGTTGCAAATGCATAACATTCCCACAAAATGAACCTTTTTAATCAACTCCTTTTAAAGGGACTATTTTTAGATTTTTTTTTAAAGAATAGCAAATGAAAAACGTAGTAAAAACATTTTTGATCATTTCTCACTTGTTTTAAACCTATAAACTGAGGTATCCTGTAGAGCTCAAGTCAAGTCCAATTATGGTGGTTAAGTAGAAATAGATGTCTAAACATGAAACTGTCATCATTTCCAAAATTAATCTATTCTTGATCATACAGTAATAGCAAGAAGCTAAATAACAGTAACATTTATGAGCCTCATGGCTTCTCTCTTCCACTGAGCTTAAAACATTTCACCTATATGTCCCTTAATTATCCTTACAATGCCCCTTGGAGAAAGACAGTGATGGTGAATATTATGACTAGGTTAACTTTTTTAAAGATCAAGAAAGTTAGGATAAGAGTTTGATCATCAAAACAATGTCATAAAGAGACATGGTGTAGAAGGAACAGCAATGTCCAAAGCATCTTACTCAGTTCTGCCCAGAGAACAGGAGCTACCCTCGAGCCAAGAAATGGCCACACCTCCTAAACCCAGATGTCTACAAGCCCAGCAGTGAGAAGTAGTGAACATGAGCCCCACAGAGGCAAAACAGGAATAAATGAAATAAGGCAAGGTATTTCCCATTCAGACACAGAGAACTATAGAAGAATTCTAGAATAAAGTCTCAGCTGTTATAACGTTTTACAGCCCCTACTGACAAAAGACAGAAATCAGTCTCTTTCCACAGCACACACACAAAGCAGACCCATGTAACCTAGAATTGTGGAATGGAAGATAGAGGAGTGAATAAAAAAATAAAAGTGATAGATTCTAAAGTTGCCCAGCGAGGGTTAACGACGTCACTATTTTTATCAAATGCTACCCATTCATCAGCCTGCTCCAACCTTTCTCTAGGCTGCCCACTGGTGAGAAAGGTGCCGGAGCCAGGACTGCTGGCCCTCTAGCCGAGCCACAGGTTGATTTCAGCAGACCCAGCCAACCAGGGGACCACCTCCTCCCCACTGCATTCATCCACACGTAGCCTGATGAAATCTGAGCGCTCACTCCAAACAAACTGCATTTCCCATGGAGAAGACTCTTAGGCAAGGGTATATGAAGCCAATTGCATCCCCTGACTAGAATCATCAAAATGTTTTATTCTTATTTTTTACACATTATCCAAACTACTGATATGTCTCCTCGGTTGTGGGGGTCTAAGAAATAAGTGATTCAAGGAGAAGAGAATGAACCACCTCTCACCTATCTTTTGGAAAAAGTTACCATGTTTTCCATGTTTTAAAATACTGTCCTTTTCAAACAGCAAAAATACAATTCACTTTCACTCAAAAGCATTTTCTGAATGCCACTGTGTCAGATGCTGGGGAGACAGGGCCGTGATTGAGCTAACCTGCTGATGAGAAGACGGCAGTCTCAGGGCAAGGAGAATGGGGGGAAGGGAAAAGGGGACCCATTCACAAGCAAACAATGAGAGCAGGCTGTGGTCAGGGCACTGACAGAGGTACACGGGGAACCCACATGGTTTCCTGCAGGAGACCAGCTTTCAGCTGGGTCTTCAGAATGGTTTCCTGCAGGAGACCAGCTTTCAGCTGGGTCTTAAGAAAAGGGCAGGTTAAGGAGAGGGAAAGGAAGACAGGATTAGAGGTACAAAATGGAAGGATTACTAGTAAGTGGCCTTTGGGAGTATTCAGAGGTTACTTTACCCTCTCCATACGACCTTATGGCTTTAACAAAGTGGAACTCCCCATTAAAAGTTTCATTTATGTGGTTTAACCACTGCTCACCTGTCATGGCTACCTCACTTTAAATAGGTTCCTCTGATCCCTTCTTAAGAGCAGATTTTGTTTGGAGCAAATGCATGAAGGGTAGATGCAGAGGAAACAGAGTTAATACTCTTTCCCTTTTTACAGTTTGCATCAGGCTGGCCCTAAGCAGCCTGCCTACAGAGAAGACGATCTTTTCAGATACTGTGAGACCTGGGACAACACGCTAACATGCTCCGAAGGCATGGACTTGGAGCCATGAGGGTGAGCAGGAAGAAGGAGAGAAGAACATTCCCCAGAAACTCTCCTGCTTTCCAGAGCAGCAGCATAAGCAACTATGTATAATTAAAGAAACTTAATCAAACACTCAAAATTATAACAATTGTTTTAAATTTAATGAGTCAAACTAATTAACATCTCTTGTTATTTATAAAGCAAATGATAAAAATCAGAAATTGTTTCTTAAATTAAAGTAAAGCAAGGTTGCTGAAGTGTACTTGCAAATTCGCTTCTTAATCTATAGACATAGCTGGTGGACTGAAAGGCATAAAGATAGTCAGAGAGAGAGCATGAGACAGAGGCAGCTCAGACAGAGAGAAGGTAAGGCTGGAGGTAGAATGTGGTAAAAAGGCAAGAATCTCCCAACTGGAGTCTTTTGAAGCCCTGAATTGTTGTGGTTGTGGTGCTATAGGTGTGACAGTGGTGGTGGTGGTGATAGTGGCAGCAGTAGTGGTAGTGGTGGTGGTGGTGGTGGTGGTGGTAATGGTGATAATGGTTATGGTGGTGGTGGTGGTGGCAGTGGTGGTCTTGGTTGTGGCGGTGGTGGTGGTGGTAGCAATGGAGACAGTAGTAGCGAAGGTGGTGATGGTAGTGGTGGTAATGGGTGATAGTGGTGATTGTGACAATAGTGGTGATGGTAGTGATGGTGATGGTGGTGGTGATGGTAGCAATGCTGGTGGTGGTGGTGAAGGTGGTGGTGGCAGTGGTAGCAATAGTAATACTGGTGGTAGTAGTGTTGATGATGGTGGTTGTGATGACAATGGTGATGGTAGTGGTGCTGATGGTGATAGTGGTGATGGTGGTGGTGGTTGTAGTAGTGGTGATGACAGTGGTAGTGGTAGTGCTGGTGATAGTGGCAGCAGTAGTAGTGGTGGTGGTGGTAATGGTGATGATGGTTGTGGTGGTGGTGGTGGCAGTGGTGGTCATGGTGGTGGTAACGATGGTAGCAATGGTGACAGCAGTGGTGAAGGTGGTGACAGTAGTGGTGGTGATAGTGGCAGCAGTAGTAGTGGTAGTAGTGGTGGCAGTGGTGATAATGGTGATAATGGTTATGGTGGTGGTGGTGGTGGCAGTGGTGGTCATGGTGGTGGTGGTGGCAATGGAGACAGTAGTAGTGAAGGTGGTGATGGTAGTGGTGGTGATGGGTGATGGTGGTGATAGTGATAATAGTGGTGATGGTAGT